CGAGGGTTCGATTCCTAGCACGCTGCAAACATTTGTATTCATGAGTATGATTGTTTGTAACGGTCGGGGTGTTTTCTATGTATAGATAATATATATGTATTTACGAAAAAAAATCTTTGTATTTATATCAGTACCCATAACATAATCTTCAGCTAGCTTAACTTGGGTCTAGATGAAGCTGTGTGAATTGTCCTGAGATTACTATTATTACTATAATAAATCTTTTCAAATCAGCCGATGTTTATTTTTGCCATAATACGTGCTGTTACCATGTGATAATATTACGTACGTACTTATTAAACTATTAACTTATTATTAAATTGTTTGTAACGGTCTGGGTGTTTTCTATGTATAGATAATATATATGTATTTACGAAAAAAATCTTTGTATTTATATCAGTACCCATAACATAATCTTCAGCTAGCTTAACTTGGGTCTAGATGAAGCTGTGTGAATTGTCCTGAGATTACTATTATTATTAATTGGTACACAGGTAAACTACTAACTAGGCCATATTGGTGTTGTTTGTTATGGTGAAAAAACTAGTATATATATAAGTTACACGTACAATTTCAAAGACTTATTTCTTTAAAACTACTGGCTATTCTGAAATAAAACTTTAGGGTTTGTATATGTAATGTTTGCATATAAAATACGATTAAAGGTTACCAGTGTATTTACACTTTTACTGAACAAACAGAGTTGTTTAATACTGAAAATATTGTGTGGAAGGCATCAATTACTTTCAGTGCATGTAGCTTTTCTCTTTTCCTAATTATTATTATTATTAAGTTTAAAGTGGTTGAATTTTACGTAAGGGGCATTTATACATTATTTCTAATTTACCATTTATTTTAAGTTTTTTAAACTCTATTCATCGAGACCTATCTAATGAGTCCAAACACGATATTTCTGCTGTAAGTTTTCGAAGAGTATGTTCATCATCTGATAATACTGGTGCCAGCATGAAGTCAAGGTTAACAGATAACTAACTACTTTTATTTCGTCAAAATCTTTAGATTACGTATAATAAATTCATAATATCGCTACATATTCAAATCAAAACAAGTATTAGGTACTTCATGTACTAGTATATAAATTCATCAACACACAAGTAAATGATTTTTAAATATATTCAGAGCCAAAAAATCTTTGTGCATTTAAAAAAAATTGCCGATACGGATTCACTATTTAATTCGCAGGAAATTGTTGAAAAAATATATATCGAGTATAGGTATCTACTACTATCGACGAATACATTTGGCAACAACGCATGGTCTCGGCCGGAACGGCAACATCGCATATTAGAATACAAAGATAGTGATAGAAAGAGAGAGACAGTGGAATCAGTAATATCTACGGATCGTGGCTGGATCAACTAAGTGTGCAAGTGTATATTTATATATATATATATACATTTGTCTTTAATTCAAAGGAAATATAAATAATGAACGCATCACATTTAAAACAGTATAAATAGTTAATAATTTAATAATAAGTTAATAGTTTAATAAGTACGTACGTAATATTATCACATGGTAACAGCACGTATTATGGCAAAAATAAACATCGGCTGATTTGAAAAGATTTATTATAGTAATAATAGTAATCTCAGGACAATTCACACAGCTTCATCTAGACACAAGTTAAGCTAGCTGAAGATTATGTTATGGGTACTGTATATAAATACAAAGATTTTTTTTCGTAAATACATATATATTATCTATACATAGAAAACACCCAGACCGTTACAAACAATCATACTCATGAATACAAATGTTTGCAGCGTGCGAGGAATCGAACCCTCGACCACCAAGCAGGAATCAAAGCAGTGTGCTAGCTAAATCGCTAGACTACCGACAACTAGCTGTACACGCGACTTCGTCCGCGTGGAATTTAACTTCTTATATTTTAGAAAAATAAAGTTAAATTCCACACGGACGAAATCCCGTGTACAGCTAGTCATCAATAAAAAAACACGTAGGTATCTCTAATATATTATACACTAGCTGTTCCCGTGACTTCGTCCACGTGGTTTTTAACTTTATTTTTCTAAAATAAAAGTAGCCTAAGTTACTCCTTATTACATCAGCTACTTGCCAAAAAAAGTCCCGTCAAAATCAGTCCAGCCATTTCAGAGATTAGCCGGAACAAACAGACAGACAGACAAAAATTGTAAAATATGTTATTTTGGTGTATGTACCATATTTATATTCATATGTAAGTAGTAAAAAACGGTTATTTCAATATTACAAACAGACACTCCAATTTTATTTACATGTATAGATTATTATTTATTTATTTATTTATTCATCCAAAATAATAAAAATTGTGTAGGATAACGTAATAGTAACATTACAGTAAAATTTTGTCAACAACATAATAGCAACTTAAATATTAAATCTCGGTATATCTATAGACTAACTGGCCCCAGCGACTTCGTCCGCATGAAATTTTATTTTATTTTTCTAAAATAACAGTAGCGTAAGTTACTCCTTATTACATCAGCTACTTGCCAAAAAAAGTCCCGTCAAAATCGGTCCAGCTATTTCAGAGATTAGCCGGAACAAACAGACAGACAGACAGACTATACTATGCTATACTATGTAATGATTGATATACCTAAAATAAATAAAATATCTGAGGTTTGGACAAAAACTCAAAGGGTAATTTATTTTGAAAAAGTATTTTGAAAATACCTATTTTGCTTTTAGTGTTATAGTACTTTAACTGTTATGTTTTAAGTAACAATGTTTAATTATAATTAATACTACTGCACCAACACTCCGATCGTGCAAAAAAATTTGCTGTTTCATTATTTTTTAGTTCAATTAGTGGTCTACCTAAGTCCTGGGCTAAGGGGGGGGGGGGGGAGAGTCATAACGCTCCCATGACCTCCATGACGCTCCCCCCTGGATCCGCCGTTGCGTCTTCTCTTTATTCGCTCAGTAACGTTGTTACAAAAGAAAAGATTCCCGTCCAAAAAATAACAAGTATTGAGGTTTGATCTGGAGTCACGTTACTCCAGACAGATTTCTATAAATATTTAGATTAGGTAGACTATTATTTTTGAAATACTAGCTAGACATTATTAAGTTACTGTAGCCATAATGTAGTAGCCCAAACGTGCCAATGAGGAAGCCCTTGGCAAATGCTGCACCCTGATTGGCCCGTTTGAATTGGATCAAGAACTGCTCGTATGCCAAAAAGGTGGATTTGTATAAAATCGTGTATAAATCGCTTAATTATTATTATTACTCGTCGTGACAGTTGTGGCTCAAAACGGATCAACATTTATATATGGTCAGCTGGCAATAGATCAACAAAAGGCCTCCGGATCAACAAGTGAAAATGGATCAACAAAAAACTACCTATACGGCACGTCTGAGCCACAAAGTGCCCAAGGGGATATTTATATATATATATATATAGGTGTTTATATATATATACTTAATATTTCTATTCGAATGAATTAGTGCAATTTAGTAGTTTGTATTCACAAATTTTAACATGTAAAGGCTTTTTAGATCATTATCATTCGAATAAGTGTTAGATTAATAAAATAAGTATGACTATACGGCAATTCTAAAAGGTTGTTAATATTTTTAATATGTTGATTTAAATTTTTTTTCGGATTCTATTGCTGCTGGCTGCAGTTGACTTTTACATCTTCACCGGACGATAGTAGCTGAATAATACTTTAGCCTGAGGAGTCCGTCTTTACCAGACGGATAATACTTTAGTCTGGAGCACCGCTAGGGGTTCGAACCTCGGCTCAGGCCGTCGTAATTTGGATTCCCGTTTGACTGGACGGTGGATTCATTGGAGAGGAGGATTCATATAAGTAATAAATATTGCATAAGGAAAATGTTGCTTTGTTCGTAATAGATAGAGTTCAAATTACTTAGTACCATTTTATAATGACGCCTATGCTGTATCTGTACTCGTATATCTGACGAATGCCACTTACAATTGTGGGTCATTGCCCGGAATATTAAAGGTCCATACAATGAATGGACTGTAGCAAAGACGGAATATTTAAACTATTAGGTGATGGGATGAATAATTACAAATTGGCGCCATTTGCATAATTCTTGAGGCAATTGTGAAAATGTCCAGCCAAACTTACTATGGAGCATAACTTACCAGGCAGAAGTTCTGATGTGATATTATAAATTACTAAATAACCCCCCAAATGTTGTTTTGTCATATAAATTAAAATCGCTATTACAAAATAGGGGTTGATAGTACAAGGGTGAGAAGAAATAAAAAAGAAAATTGTAAAAAAATGAAAAAAAAATGACTGGATAATCCTCATTACTTAGAAAAATGTAAAATATGTATATAGTAGCCGATTCTAAGATGCATACAAAATTTTTGAAAAATTGTTTCGGAAAAGTATTGTAATTGACATTGTGATACGAAAATTTTATATATAAGATATGCATGTCTATGCGTGTTACATTGTGCATGTAACACGCATAACCTTGAATATTTACAATTTGTTTTGGCATGGTTTATAATTTTATTAATTATTTTTACAAAAATTCATCAGTCTGAATATGGCTTATGCGGCAGATTCGAAAAGTGGTTAAAAATCTGTACTTTCTTATACTTCTTTTAATAACTATAGTGAGAACTCACACAGCGTAATCTAGTCTCTAGCTAAGCAGAGCCGGTATTAAGGGTGCTAGAGAACTGATATAACTACTAAGTTTTTTTTTTTGTAAGTATGTACATTATTGTACATACTGACGAAAAAAATACAGTCAGTACATACTTATGAATACAAATGTTAGCACCGTGCGAGGAATTAAACCCACGACCATCTAAACTAAATTGCCAGACTATCGAATCTGTCAATAGCTATTGATGTATTTTTACATTTTTATTATTATAGGGCGGAAAATGAAAACATAATAAATTTCATACCTAGTTATTAAATAAGTATTATTATATTAATATCGTTTACTAAATTTTATTTTTCTTCAAATATTAGTTCTTCGATCTCTTAGTTAACCACACTTCAGTAAAGTAGATCTGATATTTAACATTTATTTATAGCATGAGTCTAATTAAATGCTACTAAATTTATAAAAAAATAGAAAATAGGCCATCGTTGGTATATATAGGAATTATGCTGAAGGGTAAGTAATATTGAAGTTACTTGTTAGATGATTAAACAATATTATATATTTTCGCTTCAGTGATTTGTTTATTTCCGCGATAAAATTATTATGCTATTGTTTGATCCTTCACGTAACGTACACGTGTATGTTCTATCTACATACACGTATTTATATAATATAAACAATTTGACAAACAGTTATAATATATAATTTACAATAATATTTTATACTTATTTATAGTAACATGTAAACTCTAAAACATTTATATTTTATTAATTTTTCTCGTAATAGGAAATGAAAAGCTTGTGTATAAAAATCTCGCGTTACTGTGCTTGTCATCGTTGTCAGTCGTTTAGAATAAAACCAAAACGACTTGACCGATTCTTATGAAAAGTTTGTTTTGTTTTGAATTTTTCGAATAACCTTACCTTTTCAGAATAACCTACCACAAATCGAATATTTCTTATGACATATACGATTAGTGGTAGGGTATTTCTGAAATTATTTCTACGGCAAATTAAGGTTTGCCAGAGTAACTAATTAATATTATAAAGTAAATTGACTGTTTACCGTCTATTTGTCTGTACTGAACTTCTTTGGCTTAGTTTATTCCATATTGTCGCATATGATACGCGACAACATAGATAAAACTAGGCCAAATGATACACTAAAAAAAAACGATGAAGTTGGAAATGTCCTCATTTTTGAAATCGTAGTAATAATATAGTAATAGTATAAAGAATATAATTTTACGGATCTGCCTATTTTCCTGTTGAAAGAGAGGCGAATTCAAAAGTACTAAAAGAAATATTGTATTGCTATTTGCTATCGGATTCTCCCACATCTGAGATTTTCAGCACATTTGAAATTGTTTAAACTAAAATGCATACAGTTTTGGACGCCAGTGCACATAGGAAGCTTTCCGGGCAGTTATGCAAATAAAATGTGCAGGCCACAACCAAGAGACTTACTCGCCTTATGCTAATGAAATTCTCATGGATGTACTGGCTTTGCACGACGTTTCGCCGGGGCGCGTATGTGTGGAATATTATATGCGAAAAGTAAAGATTTCAATTATTTTGCACTTAGTTAAAAGCTGTTATTTAATATCTAGTATTATAGTTACATAATTTTCTATTTGTGTTCTTTTTCAATTCTTAAAAAAAAAAACTTTTTATCCAGGATACAAATTTTAATTCATGCTAAAATAAACGTATTATTTAAAAAGATTTTTTAAATAATACGTAGCTTAAAATTTAACTTTATAATTAAATTTAATTAAAAAAATATTAGAATTTTAATTTTTACTTAACACTTAATATCATTATTATAAATTATTTTGTTATATTCTTGTTCTATATTATTAATTTGTCACAATACAGGATATCTATTTGAATATTTTTATATTGTATTTATAATTTTAGGCAAGTGTACAAAAAATGTTATGGCGTGTAGTGTATAAAAAAAAGTGTATAAAAATATATTGAATGTTGTTATATATATTGAAGTCATAGCATAAACCCTCATTATCATAACAGTGTATTATGCCTAACAACTTTGGGGTAATATATATTATGAGTACACTATAAAATAAGGGTCACCCTTACTTAGCATGATGTTTTTCAGTTTATGAACTAGCTTCATAATAAAATGGTTCTTTATTATCATATTACTATGACTTGAGCAGTAAATAGACAATAAGATTTTTTTATGTAAAGCCACATTATACTGTTCCAGTAAAATCATTATAAATATATAGAAATCAAGTTGAAGGAAGCAAAAATTTTATACTACTAGCTACTCGCTCAGCTTTGCATGGGTTTACATAACATACATACGTGTCTTCTTGAATCACTCTATATATTGCTAAAAACTGCATTAAAATCCGTCGTGTACTTTAAAAGATCTAAGCGAATAGACAGCGCTAGAAGAGACTATATTATACCACGTAAAGATAGTACATCATTACAATCAATATAACAATAAATGTGTATAAGATATTATTTTAATACATCATTTCATCAGACATACAATTATTTATTATGTATAGTAAAAGCTCATATTCACATTATTTACTGTATCTAATTAAGTTAATGTTTATTTTAATCTTTTTAGGATTATTACAGTTAGGGTAACCAAGAGCCAGTGATAGTAGGTATTTATATAATAATACTGTAATATTATGTTATATGTGATAATACTGAATAACTTTCCTCAAGAAGCAAAAAGAGAATCTGAAAAGATCCACTAAATTCATACTGAATTGACTCTCGATTACACAATCGTCCATTTTGTATAGTTATTTTTCGATTGTCACTTTATTTATACAGATTATTTTGTTACAGATATTATTCGTCTATTTTTGTACTTAAATTATATATATACGGTTTATAGCAATATCAGTATAGTTTAATTTTCTATAGCCATAAAACTAAGTACCATGGTTAGTTCAAGTATAGTCTTCACGGTCTATAATATTTAGTTAGCAAAGTTTTCGTGCTTATTTAATGTCTTACCTTTGGTTTTATCGACAGTTTATGTTTATGGCTAATAATAACTTATTCAGTTCTGTGGACATACAGATGAGTAGGGCAGGTACTAAAATGGATATAATCCAACAAATAGAATTCCTTTCGTCTATAAAACTCAATGAAATGTGTAGAAAACTCTATGAACTCATGAAATCTCAGTAAAAACCTTAATGGAGGGGTAGTTAAACACACTGCGTCACTACTTTGTCGTGTCGTAGGTCGTGGATTCAATATTCAAACAATAATCATATTCAAAATATAGGCCTTACTATATATCAGTAATCTTTTGGTAATTACTCTTTTTTTGATCTAGGTATTTTCTACGTGTAACATATAATTAGTAGTATTTCCCATGCTCTTTTTTCTTCTACAAAAACAATCGTGTTGTATTAGTGCGACATAATATATATCTAAGTAATATTATTTATAACAAGTACTAATAATAATAAACATAGCAGAAATATAATAAAATCTATTGGATAATGACAAAAATATTGCAACACATTATTTTACAAGGAACTGTCAAAAACATTGGTAAATTCTGAATTATATCTTTTCTGTTTTCGATGAGTATTTTTCAATCGATATGACTTATTACTTCTGTTCTGGGTTTATTACTATTCTAGGTTTGCCGTAGATTTTGTGATAGATTTTTGGGAGGTAACTTTATTTGTCATTAGGTAGGTACGCGTATTAAAACCAACGTAATAAAGTTAAAACAGTGTTAAGTCTCGTCGTATTTCGGAAAAAGGAAAATAAAAAATAATATTTATGGTAATAGCCGAGTAATTAATGTTAAATAAACATGCTAAGGGCAAAAAATCATTAATGAAAATGCTTCCGTTTATATTTCTCTTAGCAAAGGGACGGAGTGTTACTCGGTCTTTTTCGTAATAATTAGTTTTTCGAGCGAATAAAATAAGCGAAGCAGATAATTGACTGTCATGTACGAGTATCTAGTGATTAAAGCGAGTGACCTTATTAGGCTATGTTCAGACAAGCGCAGTTTTTAAATGGGACTAACTGCCGGGACATATTCTTACGTTAGTACGGTAATTATATATTTAAAAAGTTGTGTTTGTAACTCACCCTTATCCTAACTATGGTTCCAGTGATAGGCATATTTATTGGCTTATGTATATGTCAATGATAAATGTATCAATCTAGCATAGATAGGCAGTGTACAATCTTTCATAATATGGATCTTAACAAAAATAATCATTATGTAATATTAAAAAAAACTTATTTTGTTATATTTTCTTTACTTTTTAGAAACTAATGAATATAATCATTTGGATTATTATCTAAATAATTGTCTTTATATTTTGACTTTAGATAATGTTACGGAATTTTAAAAAAAGAATTAGAGAACAAAAGTCGGACAATTACAAAATTCTTTCTTCTTTAAGATGATTTAACAGTAGTAATTTATCATAGTATAGGTCGGTATATGTAGGTATGAAACATTTGTTGTACTAAAAGACCGTTACGACCCTCGTTACTCACGCTTGTTTATTTTTCTTAGGTAGCTCTTTTAATTGTATTGCATGAATATACATAGGTGTGATATATATAACAAAGGTAATAGAAATTCAATATAGTTTATATATCTTCATTAAACTTTATTACTATGTGAAGTTTAATGTTATTAGCGTATGTCAGTTCTTCGGGTGGGCTACCAGCCTATATACCATTACTGTAATGACCAGATTTTATGATTACTTTTCCAATAGACGTGTTTCATTTTAGTCATATACTAATTTACAACACGTCTATTTCTATCTTAATAAAACTGATTAAGATTGTTTTTGTATCAGGTCTATTTTTAACTAATATACTAATTTTATACCTACTAAGAACAAGATAATAGGCACTTTATTAAATTACCACTTTCGATAGCAACTTTGCCAGGAATTGTAAACTTGAATTAGCTTAATTAGTGGTAATAAATCAATTAGAGTGTAATTAATTCTGAACCTGAGAATCTGTCAGCTGTAGAGCAGTTTAAATTATACCCAACCTAACCTTTAAACTTCACTGAACTGTACTTAGTACTTAAACATTGTTAGTGTACTATACTTCTTTTTAACCGACATTAATAAGACGGATATTTGTAGATTCAATTTGAACGTTATTTATGTGTACGCGATATGAATATTTAGTAGTTTATTTTTGGTTTTTGGTAAATAACTGACAGAAATATATAAATATTTTTTTTTTTATTATATTTATTTATTTCAATATTACAACACCATTACAGTATATCCAAATCGGTGTCGCAACTTAGTACAGTATACATATATATATATATATATATATCAATTTACAACATAACATATTTTATTACATAATATAAACATTATAAAAATTCTAGATACTTTTGAATGGCTTCTGTGATCTTCGGCAGACTACAATCAAAATCAAATATAGTTTTTATTATTATAGAAATAGTTTAGTCTGTAATAAGTTTATCATTACTTTCATAAT